ACTTCATTGTTTAGTACAGTTTATTTCTTTACAAATTATTTTTTTCTTTCAATTTACTATTTGTAAACTACATTTCTTGTTTATTGACACATTTTTGCTTATAAGAAACCCACAAATACAAAAATTATTTTTCACTTAATTTCAATTAGGAAAATTGATTTGAGATTGAGCTCATAACACAAAAGACTCGTGTCTTGGACCAAATTAAATTCGTATCTGAAGGCATTACTGTATATATATGGTGTATCAAAAGTCTGTCACATTCCTAGAATTCGTGTATCATGAACTACAAATGCTAGCAGGATTGAACTGTTACCATTTTAAAAGCTAAAATGGTCACATTTTCTTCTGTCAATTTTAATTTACTTAATTAAATTTAAGTTTGACAGTATCTGAGCAGTGTTGTAATGTGACACAGACTTCTGAAACACTGTATATTAATTTTTAAATATATAATAAAGAGTTCAATTCTTATTAGATGCCCCTATAGTTACGGCAGAAATACCCTTTATGTGTGAAATTGATGATCTCTGCAGATTTGAACCTTTGGAAACTAATACATGAAGAAAATCTGGGGAATGCTTTAGATCTGATCTGTTGCAGGGATTCCCAAATTCCATTCTTTTGCTTAATCTCAGGAATATTTGCAATGTAAATAAGAATCCTCACAACATGAAAATGCATATATTCATACATACGAGTTGTATTAACTGTAAGTGAAATGTAACATTCTTTCAAGGTTATTTTCTTGGGCATCTCACTGGATACTGCTCATAAAGGGTAGCAGTAAAATCTCATACTGCATTCAGTACAAATTAGAAAGCTCCTCACATATTTTGAATATATATATATATATATATATATATATATATATATATATATATATATACACACACACACACTGTAAGGTAAAAGACAATAGGAAAACTATATTTTCAGCTGAAGCATTTCATCCAGTGTGGAATTTTTCAAGGCAAAAATGAAAGGAATTTATTGAAAACAAAGTAACTATTAACAACAAACAAAATGTGCTTAGCAATTAGAATTTAAAAAACAGTTGACAATATGAATACAATAGCATTTTCTAAATGAGCCTTGACTTAAAGAGGTTAAGATTGTAATGTTTAGGGTAGCTCCTACACAGAAGTCTGGTTCATAAAATAGAAGTTCTTATTTGAATGAAACTTTTTTACATTTAAAATATAGAGGAAATGAAGACAATCCAACTTCAAACTCATAGATCTAAGATCCTCATCTTCATTGTCATATTCACAACGTTTCAGCCGCTGTACACTCCAGCCTTCTTCAGATGACTGGAATTTCAAACTGAATTAGATTATTCTATTTCCACATCTTCCCAGATGTCTCAGTTATTTCTCTTTAACTCAACTCTGAACTCACAACTCTTTGGGTCTAGTCACTGGATCTAACCAACATCTTTATCCTTGACATCTGTGTATGAATTTTTGGGACTTATAAACCTAATGTCTCAGTAACCATTTTTTTTTTTATCAGTGCTCATATTGCAATTTTTCTGTTATTATTATTATTATTATTAATAATGCATTTTTTTTTTTTTTTTACCAGAGCTTATATTGCAATTTTTCTTGTTATTCATTGCTTTTCTCTAGCACTCCTTATTACTGGTCCCCATTTTGTATTCATTTCTATGCTTGGTTGGCTCAGGAGATTTTTGTGGCCTAGCATATGTTTCAATTCCTTAAGTTTTCATATTTTTCCAGTGATGCATTCTGTCTGTTACTTCACACAGGGTGTGGTGATCTCCCTTTTCCCTCCATATGTGGTCAGCTATGCCTGATTTTTCTATTTCCCCTTGTGTTACTGCTTTACAATATTCCTGTAGTCTTACCTTAAGGGGGCAGCCTGTTTCTCCTTTGTATTTCTTACCACAGCTGCATGGGATTATGTGTACACAGTCCTTAATCATGTTTTCCTCTATAGGGGTGTCTTACTCAGAAGAGGTATCTGCAAAATGTTGAACCACTTTTGAAGGTTGTTCTGATGTTATATGGACCACTGATCCTTTGTATTTTCTCTGATAATCCTTTCACATAGGGTGGACAGCAGATGAAAGCTGTCGTCTGAGTGTTGTTATCCTCTTGTTCTCTTATATCCCTGTTTGCTGGAGCTGCTGCCATGTACCCAGAATAGTTATTACATTGTAGGATACTGCTTATAGTGACCATTTCTTGTTTGTATGTTTCTGGGTTGCCACTTATGACTATGCCGGCTGCTTACAACATTGAGCAAATCACTTTCTTTACACTGTATGGGTGGCGGGAGTTGAAGTTGAGGTATTGTCCAGTGAATGTTGGCTTGCGGTATACGGATGTCTTGAACCCATGCTTTGTTTGAGATATTAAAAAATATATCCCAGAAGGTGAGTTTATTGTTGTTTTCTCTCACCATTGTGAACTGTATTGATGATCTTATTGAGTTCACATGGTCCAGTAGTAGCTGGACATCTTTCTGGTGTGGCCAGAGTATGAAGGTGTCATCTGTTTCTCAGCCATAGGGTTGGCTTTAGTGGTGTTGATTATATAATACATAAAACTAAATATTTAACTAAATTTATTTATAATAGTTAATTGTAGTTAACAGTTTTTCTACAGATTTCTTGCAGAACTCCAGAAGTGGCCCTGTAGGAATCAGTTTGGCAATTTAAAATAAAAATTGCCAATGCCTTGAAGAGACACAGGCAATCATGTCTCTCTATAAATTTCTTTCCTTATTTATCTGTGAATTGTCATCTTGGGTGGGGGGGAATACAGGATTGATTTGCTTTTTTTTTTTTTTTTTTTTGTTATTGCTTTCCCCATTGGTTTCAATTCAGAGTTGTCCTTATTTTTGATTGGTTACCGTCTGAGCCTAGTTGTTTTTTTTTTTTTTTTTTTTTTTTTAAATCCTAGTAGAGATAGGTCCTGGGTAAGACGATAAACTACATCTGACATCAAGGCCTCTGACTGGGAGATTTTGAGAAGCGTGGCACCACCTCTTAATTGCTAGTGTTCCCAGGTCCACCCTGACCCAGGGTGGTAGCATCTGATAGTCTCAGCTATGGGTAAATAATTGAGACCCACCCAAACTAGGGTCAAAACATGATGAAAGTGTATAAATAGGTTTTAATACCAGCAATACATTTTTAAGTAAACCATTCAGGTTGATATGCCATAAAACAAACTAAAACAAACCTAGCTGGGATAGAAGAGAAAAACGGTGGATTCATGCCTTTCTAAAGAGACATGGTGCAAAAGTGAATACATACTTGTCTGGAATTTGACCTCCATTCAGTAACTTCATTTTCTGAACTGATACTCATCACACTTCCCTGTATCCTTAATGTGATATGGCGTTGTAAGCAGTTTGAAATCACTGATCTGTTACAAGGAAAATCTTTTCTATACAATATTATTTCAGGCAGTTAGCTTGTTTTTTAGCCTGTATTAAAATACATTATTCTCTCACTATTTCCCAAGGTTTACTGTTATTATAATTAATATCATAAAAAATATAATAAAAATAATAATAAAAATAATTTAAAAACTAATAAAAAAAAAAAAAAACTAAAAAAATTATATATAAAGAAAAGTAATAGAAATAAATTTTGTAATGGGTTAATATTACAGAGCAATCATTTGTTGATGTTTCACTAAGCTTAGTTTAAAGTGTATATGATCTTTATTTGGTATTCTCTCACTTGTAGCCTTTTCAACTCACCCCAAGCAAGGCAATAATGCCACTAAGATGCAAGGGGCTACTGGGAGTGAAAGAGAATGAAGACTTTAAAAGAAACTGGAAACCAATCCTAAACTGATAAACCTCTACTCGTATTAAAAAGACCAGGGAGGAGTATGAACCGGATAACAGATGAACATATAAACTATTATTATTGTGCTAAACTCGGTAAATATTAATATTGTAAGGAGTTCAATCTTTATTGATATCTGGCCTTGTGTTAAACTTAGAAATTATTAATATAAGTTTATATAAGTATAGTGCAGAATATTTTTTGCAGCAGTAGTCTTTCACTCTTTTTCTTGTATATTTTCCTGTTTCAATTTAACTAGTTGATTGGATCGTCAAACCAGTATTTGTGTTTTCTCTTTTCACTGCGGAGGTTTTTTTTCTTATATTACTTTAGATAAGGTGTTTTATTATGTCGATAATAGTTAGAGGAAAAATATTTAGCAATAGAATTAAAACCTGTAGAACAACTTTTGCAAGTTTAACTAGTTTCATTTTTATTTTTAATACACCATACAACACTTCATTGTATTTATTATTAATAAGGTTATTTAGTTTCTGCATTTCTAGAATGAGTTATTATTTACATTATATGCAGCGGGACTAATGTCCTCATTGTTGTTAGTAAAATTTTGGTCATTATGCCCTTCAGCAGGTGTTTGTCAATCTGCTTTTAAATGATTGGTTGATTTGTTTTTTTTACAACTTAAACCTTTGCAGGTTATTTAAAGCCAAAAAATAATTTTTGTTAATAATAGTTTTAGTGATATGTCTTACTAATTAACCCATAGTTGGAGGGAGAAGTCATTTATACTGAATTAGAATTTGATAAACAAATTATGTGTATATAAAATGGTGGTTCAATTCTCTATTACAATCAATATATAAACTGATCCTTCAGTTTGAGCCTATAGTAATTTTTATACATTTATATTTTCTGGAATATAAATATATCTAAAAGATATAGTGTAGCATTCATTCATTTTCTATGGCTTTATCAAGCCTTTGCAGGTTATTTAAAGCCAGAAAATATTTTTTTAGATAAGAATTTTTTTTTTTTTAAGGTAATAATGGCTTAGTGATCCAAGTTTTACTAATTAACCCATAGCTGGTGGGAGAAGGCAGCGGTAGATTCATTCAAGGATATTTGCATATAAGTGAATATAACAAACTCAATGAGAATTGGAACCTGACTGATTAACTATTATTTATTACGCCACCCACACATTCAAACTTACTGCACTTTCTATTCCCAAGCAGCCACCCATCCAGGTACTGACCAGGCCTAATTTTGCTTAACTTTAGTGATCATACAGGAACTGGTGTTTCAACGTGATATAGCCACAAGCCTGTCAAATCTGGTTAACCTTTAGTGAATTTCGAACTGAATCTCCAGCACCCCCCACCCCCCAAAAAAGTCTGCAAAGGTAGATTGTTTTCATGTCACTGTACATGTCTAGGGATATTTGGTCATGGTTGTCCTTTTTAGTGGTGTTCACTTATTATTTGTCCTGTTGCCACCAAATCCAAGTATATCCACATCACCCAACCAAGGGATTGAACTCACAATTACTATGTCAACATAATAACTGAACCTGAGATTTGATTTTGCTTGGTTTATTTTGTTTTACGCCATATCAACCTCAATAGGTTATTTAATGCTGATAAGATTTTTAGGATACGTTCATATGTATTCTTTGTAAGAAATCAGTTTGTAAATCAGGTTTCATTGATGTATTTTTGTAAAGAGGGTTTTTGTCGAGAGTCAAATGTATTGCTGGCGATTTTTTTTTCCAAAATATCTTCCTGGTATTTTTATAAAAACTTATTTTTACACTTTCATAGTGTTTTGAACCCAGTTCATGGGTTTTACCGATCATTAAAAAAAAAAAAAACAAACTTCCAGGCCACATAATTTGAAACTGTCCATTTCTGTTACACAAATTCACAGACAGAAATTAGGGCTAGGGACAACTTTTGTATATTGTTCTGAATTAGACAAATAGTCAATAGTCAAAGCAGCAAATATGGAGAACAAAATCAAAGGCTTTAGTCTTTTTTTTTTTTCCTCTAGTCAGTAGAGGCAGCAACTGCTTTACTTAACATTTGTTGTCTGTAGCCATGATGTGGATTTTGAACTTTGGAAGTTCATTTGCAGTCCAACATTTGAGGATTGTCAGAAACCTGTTGACAAATCTTCAAATATAAAATTTAATGGATTCTTTACATAAAAGCTTTTGTCTACATTCTAAGCTTAGATTTTTTTTTTTTTTTTTTTTTTTTTTTTTGATATGAGAATTGTTTTGGAACATGGTGAAATCTTCACAGTATTTAGTATTGTTGAAATTATTGCTAAAACAAACTGTACGTTTTGTTCAATTTTGCAAACCAGTCAATGAAATTTGAATAAGCTGATTTGTTTAGAAAAATACTTTGACAAAAACCCAACTTCATGGTTTAATTTATTTCTTTACTATGATGTCCTATGAAAGTAAAATATTTTCAAGAAAACTTGTTTTTTGACAGTGAAGAATAAATCTTAAATATTTCTTACTCTTGAGCATGCAATATATAACTGGCAATATTTCTTTCTGGAACTTTCTTCCAACTTTTTCAAGCTTAACTGGTTGCAGTTTTGGCAATATAATTAATTAAAATAAAAGTGGCTTAGGAAATGCTTTACAAAGGTCAATCTCTCTATGTTGAAAGAGCGTGTATAGGGGGTAAATATTTTAGATTGTAAGAAGTTTGTGATAATAATGGTTTAGTGATCCAAATCTTGCTAATTAATCCATAGCTGGGGAGAAGTGAATTCATACCTTTCACAAGAGTATTTGTGCATAATTGAATATAACAGAACCAACAGGAATTGGAATTCAATTCTGAGTCCTTATCCATCATACCCACCCATGTATCCAAGCTTACAGCACTTGTATTTCCAAATGTTTACCCATCTAGGTATTAACCAGGCTTGACATGGATCGCACAGGAACTGGTGTTTCAATCTGATGTGGCTGTAAGTCTTTAAGCTTTTTCTATTTTGTACTGTTAAATTCCTCGAAATGTGAGACCATTTTATAAAATATGGTTCAATACAAATATTACATGAGTAAGTGCTACTGAGAAATTAAAAGAATTTGAAGATCATTTGAAATATGGTGTAGACTTTTGCTGCAACTGTTTATGAGCAGTGCTATATTTGAGCAAAGGAGCAAGAGGGTGGGACCGCAGGAGGTTAGAAAGCAGGTAAGTTAAATTCACATAACTTTAGGCCAGCACCATTTTTGCATGTTCATATATAAAAATGTTTCTGCCCGAGTTATGTAACAATGTACATATACTATGCACTTCCACACACTGTTATTAATGGTAGATAGTTCCTTGCAAGACATATCCAAATATTTTCATGGAGAAATTTACACCTTAGTTTAAAAGCCTAATTAAAACTTTAACACTTGGAATGTTTTTCCGTTTTGGTGGGGGAAATATGAGAGAAATTAATAAATGACTCAGACTTTAGTGACTGAGACTCATTGATAATCTTTTTTATTATTTTCCAAATACTTAGAAATACTTAAAGACTTAGCTGATTTTTTTTTAATTTATTTGATATTATATTTGCAAAATATTTTTCAAAGGAATAGTTTCAGTTTGATTCATGTGCTAAACACTTTTTTGCTGATTGAACAGCTGCAGATAGCAAATAACAGTTGGTGATAATGATATGAAACAGTCTCTCGCATATATATATATATATATATATATATCTGGTGATTTTTGTGGGACACTGTACACCATTTCTGTTATCAGTTCTTCCAAAAAGTGTGACTTGTTCTAAAGAAGCTTTCACCACTATGATCAAAATTATATGCATGGGTAGTCTGGCATCTCAGTTTTAAAACTGAACTGTTGGGCCTTCATACATTGAAAATGATGGAAATCGTGTGTGTGTATATATATATATATATATATATATATATATATTATAAAAATAAACATACAGTAAGTATCTATCAACCCATCTATCAGTTTTCCTATTTATGATTAAAAGGCCATTTTCAAGTATACAGTTTTTCTTGATAGCAACACTTAAGATGTTATCCACATTGTCAACCTTGACAGGGGCCCCCTACTCAAGATGTTTTGTTTGTATTTTTAGTCTTTTTTTTTTCCCCTGAATAAACATGTATATATTTTGATGGCAAACTATCTTTCTTGATAGCAAACCCTTTAAGATTTAAGGAACCAGCGCTGAGTATGGCGTTACCCCTTCCATTTTGTTCAGATAATACCCATTGATTTGTTTTATCATCTGTGTAAGTAATTTTGCATATGTTTGAAATCTGTGGACAGCTGTCTCTAAAATACTGTGTAACCTTCTGACCTCAAAAGGAGTGCCATATCTTGCCCAAGGGTGACCTAAAGTTGAGCAGGGCAAATCTATTCAATTATGTCAATGTAAAACAGTTTATTTTTTTGCTCACACCTACACTGTGTGTGTGTGTGTGTGTGTGTGTGTGTGTGTGTGTGTGTGTAAATCTAGGTATGATGAGAATATTACCTCAAAAACACGTAAAATAAAAATTATATATAACAGACAATGAATGTCTGATCATGAGCCATTGTAAAGTTTGTATATTTGCGATAATTTCTGGTGAAAATAAAGACAAAAATTGTCCAACATATATGCAAGATACATAGATGACATTTTCATTTTAGCTAATGATATTGATCAAATTACACAAAAAAAAAAAAAAAAAAAAATTTGAAAGTCACTCCGTCCTCAAGTTTACATTAGAACTTAATATTAATAATAAAATTCCATTCTTTGATGTATTTATTGATTCTAGCACAAATAAAAAAACCCACTAGCATTAACTTGTCTTCTTAATTATAATAGTGAATGCCCCCAATGATATAAGTTAGCCATTACAAAAAAAACTTAATCCAATCCACACAAATGATATCTTCTTCCAAAACCATATTCTATAAAGAATTACAAGACATTAAACAAACACTTCTGTCATTAATCAATAAATAAAAATGTAGATCAATAAACTTAATACCTCTAACAAAATCGATAATATTAATAATATTGTACATCAAAATAAACATAACATTATTAACTTATACTATTGTAAGCAAGTGCATAATAATTACAAACCTGATGAAAGAACACTCAAAAACATATGTAGAAATGTTAAACCCATTAATAATAATAAACAAATTAAGTTCTTCATATATTATAAAAAATTTAAAACAACTGACCCCAACCCTACAACCACACAACTAAATCCTCTACAAAAAACCAATGTAGTGTATCAATTTACATGGCCGTTCATAGATTGTATGTGATACTAATAAATAAACCCATTATATATTTATAAAAAAAACAATTGATCCACAGTACGAAATTCCTGAGAAAAAAAAACTACTAAGACATATCACTATATTAATTGAACTATATACTTAGTTCATGTCATGTTAACTGAAAAACACTTGTAAAAAAAGAAGAATTTGTGGATTTACCATATTACAAAATTCATATAAAAATTCTCACTTGAAATTTTGAACTTTAGCATTGCGACTCGCACATTCTTAAAAAACATCTTTCGGTCTACAAACAATTATTTCATCTTAAAGTTTTAAATTTAAAGGAAAAAAATTACAGCCTGATGATAAAGACATGGATCTTTGAAAGTACTTGCTTCTTAAAAAAAATATACACTAGAAACATCTGACAACAGTTTTATAAATGAGGATCACATCATTCAATGGATTAACAGTATTTTAATGCATACGTTATGTTCTACTAGCAAAGTGATTTCGCCATTAATCGCATTAATATTGCTGATCGATTCTATGTATGATATATAATGTTTTACACTCTCCCGGAGACTTACTTGTCACCTTTCTGATCTTAGTTCAATTAAGCAACATTTCTTAGAAAAACATAGTTATGTATGTAATATTAGACAGATATTAGTTGATGACAACAATACTCACACATACACACAGTAAAAAGAACCTTCAGATATTGGAGGCCATCTACATTAAAACAAAGCAATCCACACTCAACAAAATTACATTTCAAACTAGTCACAACACATTACATTGCATCTAGACATATGGCTCTGTTGTAATATTTCAATCTCGTGTAGTATGACATCATAGCACTGCATCTTGAACTTACGACTTGTCTGCTATTCCATTACCAATAGCAATGTCAAAATATCTTTGACAGTAGATATTTGTTTCATGACTTTATAATGACTCTGAACATGGTCCCAAGATTTCAGCTCACATAAGCCAACTTAATAAAAAAAATATCCAAATGTTGGACAATTTTTGTCTTTATTTTCAATAGAAATTAAAGCAAACATACAAACTTTAGAACAGCTCATGATCAGACATAATAGACATTTATTGTCTGTTATATTTAATTATATATGTTTAAATAATGATCTGCTGCCTCAATACACACTATATATATATATATATATATATATATATATATATATCTCACTTCCAACATTATTTTAATGGCTACCCATATTTGAGTAGATGCTGCATTTATTTATTAAACAGTATACTTGTTTATTTTTATCTAGCAGGTTGAATATAAACCTGCATCCCCATTTTACTGGAGAAACAGTCATTAGATCAGATTTGCTTTAGATTGATTTCATTATCTTTAATATTTCTCAAATATTTAGGCCAGTGACAAAAATACACACACAAATGTTACGTCTACTCAAATCTGAGTAGCCACTAAAATAATATTTAAAGTGATAAAATCTGTCAATATATTTTTTTTTTTTACATTTTTCATGTTGACAGGGTGTGTGTTAATAGGTAAAGCATTTCATCTGATTTATCAAAAATCTTTTTGGGAATCTATATCTTACAAATACATATTTATGTAGTTATATGGCCATAAGTGGTTAGAATATTTGCTTTCTGACCATGAAACCCAGGTTCAAATCTCACCATGGTCAATTTGTCAGGAAGGTGATTTCTTGATGTTATTGGTATAGAGAAGGCGATCTCAGTGAGTAAACACCTCTGGAAAGTGTCTGAAAACTATACCATGGGTTGACCCAAACTTTGTGAATGAAATTGGGCAGACAGAACCCTTGGGAGCCATCGGTTGTTTTACTAGCACAAAGCCACAAATCATTGTGACTGAGGGTTTAAGCATGCTAGCCTTGTACTAACTGTTGAGAATGTTAGATAATGCACTTTTCCCCCAGAAACTGCAACTAAGATCTGCTAAGCATCGTTGCAGTATAAAACATTATAAAGGATTTTTTTTTTTTTTTTTTCAACTATTCAGTTAAAAAACAGAAAAAAAAAAATCCTTTATAATGTTTTATAGATTTTTATGTTTATCTATAGTGATGAGAATATTTACATGGACTGTTATCCACATCTTCATTGCTATATTCACAATGTTTTAGCCATTGTACATTCCAGCCTTCTTCAGGTGATTTAGAAGTTTGAAGCGAACCCTTTATTTTGTCCACTGGGGTAGATTGTTCTAGTTCCACGTGCCATGTCTCTTCCAAATGTCTGTTATTTCCCTATAACTCAACTCTCCAATCACCTGAAGGAGGCTGAAACATTGTGAATATAGCAATGAAGATGAGATAATATTATTTACATTATTCAGACTGTGATGAGGTTTTATTTTCCAAACATGGTCAGCACATTGTGGCTGTCTTCATAACTGATATTAATGAATGTTTTCCTTTTCTTTTTTTATTATTAATGCTTCCATTATTGTGAGGCTATTATAGTCATATTTTCTACGAGTATGTTGTGGACTGAGTTTAGAGTTATTAATATGCATATGTCTGGGCATGTATGTGTGCAAATTTGTATGTCTGTTTGCACGCATGCAATAAAACTGAATGATGCAGAGGAGGGTTGAGATAAGAAGCAACAAGATGGAGTGAAACTAGTAATAAAATATTTATCTTTTGTCTAATTTTGTTTCTGGTTCCTGGGAATTGTCAAATATGTTTTAATTCCATGTGTTCTGGAAGCCATTTATCAGCATGTCTTCTATATGTAGACAAACTCTTGGGAACCAGTTAAAAAAAAAAAAAGGTCATTATTCTTTAGTCCTGAAGACTCCTCCTCTGACCCCTTTTTTTTACCATTTTTTTTTTTTTCTTCTCTTTTTCCTTGTGGCTTTCTCCTTAAATTTTCCCATGTTAATATTCTTCTGTTTTACAAATTCTTTCCTATAATATGGTGTTAATTTACTTGTCACATGAGCAATATTCAAACTGGTGTTATTATTTAGCTTGTATAACAATCATGATTCTCCCCCCGCCCGACAAATATTAAAAAAAAAAAAAAAAAAGCACAAAAATCTGTACTCCTTGTACTTATCGAGCAGTTTGTAGACAACCACTCCTTATACTCAAATAGTTGTTGTTGCTTAGATAGAATGTCAGGTTTGGCTTTCCTCCCACATAGCTCTACCCGACAAAACCACCCTATATGATATACATTTTTCGAAGTTATTAATATTTATCAATGCTCTCATGTGTAGATTTATGTATAGAATAAAATACACCAATAAAATAATTTCTACACAAAAACAAATCTTTTAATGAAAGGAAGCAACTAAAAATGAAAATAATGTGCAGATTGTGTTCAAGACAATCTATTTTTTCTGTATGGTCTATTAACTAGGGAAAAGATAAAAAAATAAATGGCTGATTTTGTTTAGTGGCATATCAACCTCTTTTGGTTATTAAATACCAAATTTAAATATTTTCTAAGTGATTTTATGCTTTCAACTACCAATATTTTAAACTTTCAGTGTAAACATTTTTTTCCTTCTTTTTTTTTTAGATATATAGTTTATAGGTCATAAAAATATTGATATTTTTTATGTAGTGTTGGTAATTATATTAATTAAAATGTATTTTTTTTTTTTTTTTCTTTAGTGAAGTATTGTTATTTTACTATAAAAAATAAACTGTTGATTTTTGTTTGGATGGGCTTCCTTATTTAGTCATAGCTGGGACCCTATCAATTGCTACCACCCCAGATCAGACTGGGCTTAGGAATAACAGCAATTAAGATGTGGTTGGATGCTCCTCAAAACCTCCTGATCAGAAACCTTGCTAAATAAAATATGCTTTTAAAAACCTTTTCACTGGTCAAATATACTGTAAGAACTAAGACATTAAAATTTATATTAAAAGATAAATTGTACATTTAAAACTTTTTTTTTTTACTATTATTCACATAATCTAAGAGTCACTCAAGGACTGAATGAGATTGTTGTAAGAATTTACAGGGAGGGACCAAGAGATACATTATTATGAGGATTGATAACCTATTAAAGTTGAAGGTTAATAGTTAAGATTGTAGAAATTCCTACCTACCAACAGGTAAATTTTTCTTTATTTTTCTTTTTTTCTGAAATTATTTTTGCTTTGTTGTGTTTTTTTTTTTTTGCACAACTGAATATTGAATTAAAAACAATTAAATTAATGCTGGAAATGTTTTGTACACAATTTTTTTTTTTTTTTTGCAGATAATTTTAATTATTTACATTGTCAGACTGTTGTTCTAATTTTTATTGCCATATTCACTTGTACACTCTGGCATTCTTCACTTGTGATCGGAACTTTAAATATGCTTCTTTGGAATATCTGCAAGTTTTTGTTCACCACTGCAGTAGCCATGAATCACCTGAAGGCCAAAATGTTGAGAATCTGGCAATAAAGATGAGGACAACAGTCCAAACAATATAAATAGTATTTATAACATACCTAAGTGGTATTAGAATTTGGCTGTCCAATTAACAGTTCCCTAGTATTATTATGAACAATAAGAGAAGCACCAGAAAGTGATATCATATTCAAAATATATCTAAACAGGAAGAATTCAAACAAGGTCTTTTTTTTGCCAATGTAGTTGTTGTACATTATCAATATACTGTACTTTTTTTTTTTTTTTCTGAAATACATGTTTTGTTTTGTCCCCTCCCTCTTGACGACTTTCAACCGACTTGGTTCCAGAATATAACCAACAAAATGTTGTCTGCCATACTAACAACATTCACTTACTGATAATGACCGAGATGGTCACAATTACTTAAGCAAAACCACAATTTTGATTTCTATATATATATTGGCGGCGGGGAATAACGACAACCTTCTTGGTATGTATGTATGTATGTATGTAATCTAAAACAATCCTCAGCAATGCGCATCCACTACCAAGAATCAAACCCGGATCTGTTACAATACATTGCAAACATCATACCACTGGATCAGCGGGCCTCAGTGATGAAGAAGAAAGGATCAACGCTTGTGTTCTATTGTAATGATCTGGGGTTGATTCTCGGTAGCGTATGCTCACTTCTGATGAGTCCCAAAATAGGATGAAATGGCCATCCAGTGCTTTATGCATTCCAATTCCATTAAGTTTTTCTAAACTTGATAAATTACTACGATTATTTAAATCTCCAAAAACTTTCTATCACTATATATTATATAAAATGTGCATATGCAAGAAAAGGTATTGCAAAGTTTCCAACCTGACCAAGAAGGAATTTAAAAAAAAAAAATAAATAAAAAAATAAAAATTAAGTGATGTTTGGTTCAAAAACATTTTAACACCCACCATGTAATTTAAGATTGCTAAACTTCACATTATTTCAATGTCAATATTTTACAAATGTCTCAATTCTTAAAATATATACAATGAGTTATCATTTAGAATACAAAATTTCAGTTTAATCTTTTTTTTTCCCTTTGCAGATTGAAATAGCTAAATTGAAAGAACACAGTAAGTATAACATTTTTACCTTTTTTTCCTTACAATATCAACAGAAAGATAGAAATACATTTTACAATCCTAACCAGGAAATGATTTTGGCAAAAAGAAAAAATGGTAACTTGTAAAATATTTTCATATTTTTTTTCTCTCAGTTCTCAAGTCTTGACATGAGAATATTTTCACCAAAGATGTTTAATGGCAAAGCAGACCCCAAATGTCTAGTCAGATTGCTACCTCTGTCTTCTGAATATTTCATTATCAACCTTGCCTCTTCCTTAATCTAGTGTGGCTGAATTGGTTAAAGCATCACCTATGAAAGACAAGGTCCCAGTATATGAGGTTAAACTGAAAGAAAGAATCGATCCCTACTCTGGGCAGAGGGCACTATCATTAGATCTGACATGCTCTGAACTATGAAGTATTCAGCTTTGCCTGATCAGCTACCATTAAGTGAAATTCTTATCATTGACTTCTTAAATTTTCACATCCAAATGTAAACAAAGCAATTTTCTAAAGTAATGAATTTTTAATAGCCCCCCACCCAAACATTAATCCAACAGATTTTATCAATTTGAATATCCACTAAAAATAACATTTAAAAGGGATAAAATCTGTTGGATTAATAAATGAAGTCTTGCTTAAAAACACTCTTCAGCCTTGCCTGATCAGCTAAGTTCTTCGTAGATTAGTCAGTCTAAAGCACATCAGATTTAACAATGTTTCCCTCTGCCCAGGTGGATAGAGGTTTGAATCTTGCTGTAGAGCATATTTTTTCTTAAGTAAGATTTTGTGAATATTCAGGCCAGTAGACAAAAATAGACTTGGTCATGTAAAGGATTCACTTTTCCCGACTTAAATGGTGAAAAACAGGAGAACGAAATAAAATAGATTTTCTGCTGAATTAATTTATGGATTCTGTCAAATCATCAGGGTGTATAAGCTTTGGGTTATTGGCACAGAAGCAAAGAACAATTCAAGTAGTTTTCAAATAATGGTAGAAATACAAAATGAAGATAATATACCCTTTTTCAAAAGTTTTTATTTTTTTTTTATTTAAATCCATTTTAAAACAGGGCTTGAGACGTGATAGAATATTAGCTTCAAATGATTGGTTAATGTTTGTTTTTTGTTTTACTTCATCCTAAAAACAACTAATTTCTTAAAAACAACCACAAAATTCTTTAAAAAAAAAAAAAAAAAAAAGAAGATATCTCAATACAAGTTTTTGGATAAAACATTTTGAGGAGTACAAGCAACAATCCAAATGCTTTTCAGCTAATGAATATTTTACATTCTGTAAGGTGGTGATACTGAAATCAAACAAGTACAAAAATTTAAATATCTGGGAAGTGTTTTAACAGAGGACGGAAAGTGTGACACTGAAATCCAAAGGCGCATTGAGATAGCAAAATATGGCTTCCAAAATCTAAGTGATGTATTAAGAAACAAAAAAATTTCGTTAAAAAAAAAAAAAAAAAAACAGTATTTATGTAATATTGGTCCTCCTATATGGTAGTGAATGCTGGACAATTTCCTCACAGATGAAGAAACTTGAGGCAACATAAATGTGGTACTACAGAAGGATACTGAGAATACCATGTCCCAAACATGTGAGCAATGACAAAGTTCTAGAGAAAATGGCAACAAAAAGATACCATCAGAAAGAGATAGTTGAAATTTGTAGGGCTCGTAACGAGGAAAGAGGGCTTGGTAAATTCGATACTCACAGGACAGTTTGCATGTAAGAGGGACAGAGGAAAACAACACATAACCTATCTGGCGAGCTTTAGTGAATGGATGATGGATCAGAGTTCAGGAGAGATAACCAAAAGAGAAAATTTATTAAGAGCTACAAAGGACAGGAAAATTGTGGAGAGCCATGATCGACCATGTCCTGAAGAGACAGGGCACATAAAAGTAAGGTCATCACTAATCGGCCACCACCTTAAACTGTCACAAAAACAATTTAATAGAATGGCTTCTAGCTTCCCCGGACATTAATCAAAAAGAGAAGCAAAGGTGAATGGAAAATATTAAAACAAAGATCTTTGCCTGCATCTGTTTTTATTCTCTCCCAATGTTAAAATCAAAACAATAGAAAAAGTTAAAAATAGCCGAAAGATTTAAGACTATAGAATATCAAGGAGCTTATATTAACCTTTTTAATGTCCATCCCATATTAAGTTACTAAAAAAAAAAAAAAAGCAATCTGTGTTATAGGTTTCTATTAACACCCAGTCAGTAAGTTATGTGCCATACATGCTTATGCAATCATGTATACATGACTGATGAGGTAGATTCCCCCCCCCCCCCGTAGTAGGTTGCCATTTCTTTCTGCAGTAGACCAGATGCCATCCAAGGCTATAGAACCCAGTCTGTTCTGCTATTTACCTATAGTTGGGAGAAGAAAAGGATTCATACCTTTCCCAAGGGCATTAGCATGTAAGTGAATGTAATGGATTTGACTGGAATACAAACTCGGATCTCCAATTCCTGAATTTCAAGCTGCTATCCATTACTCCACCATATCTCCTCATTAACATTAACACCCACCATCCCAAAAATAGGACAATGGGTTAAGATTTCAAATAATTTATTCAGTTAAATGGGATGTTAAGTACATTTTACATTGATTTCTTTTTAAATAAAAAATGTGTTGTGTTTGGTAAAGTTTGACCCCAAATAAATTTTCATTCAAACTAGATATTATGAAGGTGAAACTAGTGTGATATTTTAATAAAAACACTCTATATAAGAAATATATGGATCTCAGATGTAACCAGGGTGCACTTTAGATTTTAATAATAATTAGTCATGAAATTTGAAAGTCTGAAATTTTGCTTTAGTATTCAAGGATTTAGCAATGCAGTTTTCATTTAAAAGGAATTTATGAAGAATTTTCTTTCTTTTTTTCTTTAAGAGATCAATAATGATGGATTTAATTCCCTTATGGAAGGCAAAAGGGAAGAATTATCCACTCCATCTTAAAGATTATGGAATTTGGCATCTAGTTTAAAATATCAAATGTCAAAAACTTGACACAGACATGGAAGCCATGTGCTTGGTAGCTCTAGCTTTCATTTTTTTTTTTTTTAATATAAAAATAATTCATAAATGACTTGGTACACATGTGGCTACCTTTCAAAGTGCATTAGTGCACCCAATTGAGAAACACTATATTGTACCAAATATGAAAAAATTCAACTTGTTTACTTACTAATTCTTACACAAAAATGAGGCAATCAAAATATAGATCAGTCCAAAGTTAATATATTAGTACTAAACTAAATTCCATGTGCTGGTATGCATAGATTGTCCTCTAAAAAGTAAGTCAAAATAAATTGTACTAAGTAGTTGTCTATAGAAATTACTATAACAGGTCTTATGAAGTACAGATCTACAAATAAATTAGTTGCTCTTCATGTGGCTTGATGGTTAACAGTATGAAGAATGGAATTTTTTTTTTTTAATCCATTCATTTGAAGGCAATGCCACTAAGATGGCTACTGGGACTGAAAAAAAATTTTTATGAAGGAACCAGAAGCCCAATCCTAAACAAGGGATAAGCCTCTACTCCTTTTCAAAAAAAGAAAATGGGAGAGGAGTGTGAAGATGATGATGATCTACTCCTTGGTCTTGATCTAGCAGCCCAGCTTCAGTCACTTTCCCACCATCATAAGGTTGCTTCCCTGTGCCTTTTCTGTAAATACTTTCATGGTAATTGTTCAGATGAGCTCTTCACTATGGTACCTAGACTTTATGAGTTTAAGTGCAATACTATACTGGTGTCAAGATCTCATCAATTTACAGTTGAAATGAACAGATTTAAGTATAATTCTTCTATGCTGTTTCTTTTCTTGCTTGTGGAACTCCCTTCTGGCTCCATGCTTTCCAGCCAACTTTGACATTAATCTTCAAAAATTTAAATGCAATCTATCTACTGTCATCCTGATTACTAAGGAGCGAGAACAAAAGAGTAAATGTTTCAAATTTTTCCACAACCAGTAACCATTGTGCCTTAGTGACTTTATTGCCTTGTTTAACTCAATTAAAAAGTCAGTTATCAGTTAATTTGGGACACACCTGGCTACTTTTCAGGGTACATAAGTGTGCTTGGGGCACTGTTGAGAAAGCTGATTATGGCAGATGAATCTAAGCAGGCAAAATGAAACTAATGCTGAACAAAGATTTATCAGAATGGGAAATCCAAAAGTATGTGAACTTTAGAAATGATTTCACAAGTTTTCAGTATGTCTGTAAGGCAGAAAAACATCAAATCAGTAGTCCAGCTTCTTTTTGTGGCTTTGTCCAAATCTGCATTACAGTTGGTACATTTTTAGCAAATTCTTACAGATGTACTTTTCTTTGACTATGTTCAAACATATGCTAACACTTTTTATTTCCCAGTGAATGGCATTTCTGGGTTTGGTACATTTTGGCATAGCCCATTTGGTATCACTGATTCGGCGTCAGAAAAATAATTGCCTCTTCCCCTAAAAAGCATTGAAAACACCCAACTTTCAATATGAAAAGGAAATTAAGGATCCTATTAAAACACTAATGGAATAATGTACATTAAACTTAAATTAAAAATATTGTCTTTCAAAAAAAAAAAAAAAAAAAAAAAAAAATATATATATATATATATATAAAATCTTAGTAAAGCTATTTAATCTTAAAAATTACGTCTTCATGGGTGTGTTCATTCAACTGGCAAATTGAATCCCTTTTTCATCCTTCATATGTAATCTCCCTTTATATTGATCTTTCTGTTCACATCACCAAAATCTAAATTTGGGATCACTCTTGCTAAAGTGAGAGAGAGCAAATTTGACTATAACAACAAAGTAGCAATCTGATGCCTAATTGTCTTTTGCTGAAAAATTCCTATATCAAAACCGCTACATGGGAACGTCCCATTCCAGGTATTTCTATACCACCAAAGAAAAAAAATATAATATATTAACCATAGAATTTTGAGTTGTTTCTACACATGCTAAATTTTAAGA